GTAGCTCGTGTAGTAGTTTATCACCACCGTGTATGAAGTGAATGAATAATGGCGTGAAGATGTGAAGCATCTTTGAGTGTCCAAAAAAGCGCTGTATAGAACCGATGCCTGATATTATTGCTAAAGATATTCTGTATTATGTATTTATGTCCATGAGTTAGTCTCTCCTAGTCATTAAAGTCATAAAAATAACAAATAATTATGCCTTTTCACTGATATTATGCTATAGATTAGATTCTATATAGATATAGAATATTATAGATTCTTCATCTATAATATTCACCCAACAACTTGAAAATAAGACAAAACTAACATTCTTGGTCTCGTCCTCATTAATTTGAAGTCATACAAGATCGTTCCCACTGGCATCTGGTCTTGTGCACGCTGGCGACTTTTGCAAACTTATTCCAATGGGGTTTTACTGAAAATGGCAAATAAAATGAATCTGACTCTGACTAAAGGCTATTGGGATTCTTTTGGGGAAGACCCAGAAAACGCTGAAGGGACTGTGTCTGTTGACTAAGCTACTTGTATTAAACGTCAGATCAGATGCATAGATTAAAAATGAAAGTCCCCGGTCGAATGTGGTTGAGTGCTCAGCGGGCATGTTGTTTAATGGTATCAGATCCAAGTTTCTCCAAAATGACTAATGCTTGTTTCTATTACAGAGACGTGCACATTTGTTATAGACTCTGGCAGCATCTGTGACCCTGGAATTGGATGAGAGTACGGTTGTGGTGTAATTGTGAATTCTGAGCTGACTGCACTTGGCACAAACGCACACAGAGGTCAGCGAGGGTTGGCATTACGCTGTGACTGTGTGAATAAGCAGCACAGTAAACAAATGTGACCAAGTGCTCTGATGGCTTTATGAATCTGGTAAATAAGACTGTGAAAGGCACTGAGTCAACCGCAGAGGCCGAGTGAAGTGGAGCTGCAGTATCTATCCACCGAAGCAAAACTAAAGTCAAGGCGTTTTCTCGAATGAGGACACACACAATAATGAATATGTATAGTAAAATAAAACAATATTAGTATCCCTATATTTAGCCCTATATTTAACACACTTTGTTACTGCACATGTTATTTATACACGTGTTATTTTATAGCCAAAAACAATTAACAAAAGCAAAAAAAGAATAACAAAGCTATGGGGGGACGTCATTTGACCACGGCTCCTCATTCTGGAGTTGCAGCGTGTGTTCAGAGCGTCAAACCTGCAAGCTCTGTTCACACGCGACATACAAACTGATGTCCATGCATGTTTCTGTCATACATGTTCATCATCTTTTACTCGTCTTATTAGCCTGAACTTTTAAAATCACACTTTGTGTTGGATTGAACTCATAAACACAGCACAAACACAAAACAAACAAAATAGTATGGATTAATCGATGAACGAACTGCATTTATAGCCGCAGCCCTAAAGCTACTATTAAACTCAGTGTGATTGGCTCATCGCTTTAGCTTTCTCCATCGCATGGGAAACTTGATGACTAGAGATACAGATATACAGTATCTGTAAGAGCAAACTCACCACAGGAAGTGCATCCAGACTGTAGTGGCTAATTAGCTCAATGCAAAATGTTCTAATTTGAGTGATCCCACTTCAACACTCATTAGCTGTTAACTGTTTTCTTTTCCACAGTCTAAATATTTCTTATCAGCAGATTGGTACATTTCAAAGTTCCTATGAACCTGCAAAGTTTTAATTGGTGATATCAATAACAGTGTATTTCACAAACACCTCAGTCGATGTATCTCTCTCACAGACTTTGTCGACTGGTGTGAGCACAACCACTTGTGCTTGAACACCAGTAAGACCAAGGAGATGGTCATAGACTTCAGGAGAAAACCACTTTCCCACACGCTGCTGAACATCCAGGGGGAGGACATTGAGCTGGTGGACAGCTTCAAGTACCTGGGTGTTCACATCAACAATAAACTGGACTGGTCCCATAATACCAACGCCCTGTACAAGAAGAACCAAAGTCGCCTTCACCTTCTGAGGAGGCGGACTTTTTAGGACTCTGTGGTAGCCTCTGCCATACATTACGCTGCCGTGTGCCGGGCCCCGGGCAGCACAGAGTGGGACAGGAGTAGACTGAACAAGCTGGTCAGGAGGGCCAGCTCCACTCTGGGCTGCTCCCTGGACTCTGTGGAGGAGGTGAGGGACAGGAGGGTGCTAGTCAAAGCCACCTCCATCATGAACAATACCTCACACCCATTGCACAGGACTGAGGAGGAGCTGAGGAGCTCCTTCAGTGGAAGACTGAGGCACCCTCAGTGCAAGAAGGAGCGCTACCGCAGGGCCTTTATCCCCTCCGCCGTCAGACTGTACAATAAGTCATCTGAGTGTTTCTATCCATGCCAAATGTGACATGTAAATTTCTCCTTTGTGAGATAAATAAAGCATATCTTATGTTATCTTATCTTAAGTCACTTGCATTAGGACCGAAAAACCTGCACTACTTTTGACACTGTTTCTTGATTGCCACTTTTTGAATGGCCACTTTTATTGTACATAATATATCCTGCATTTAACATGTTTGCACATTTCTTTCTTTTGCACAATCTTGAGTGATTCTATCCATTCCAGATGTGACATGTACATTTCTCCTGTGTGAGATCAATAAAGTCTATCTGATCTTATCTTATCTAAAAATGGTTCTACAATAAAAAGTTTATTCTTGGCAGACCCTAATGTTGTTTGAGAGCTGCGAACGGAAGTTCTACTGTGCAATTTGAATCACTATCTTGCAAAGTAAACTCTTATATTTAAACTTTATGAAATTGTATTTCCTATTTTTGTATTGAATTGTGATTTTTCTACGGTCTGCCTCATGCTTGTGGCGAAGCAGCGGCACTCAAAGTACAGAGATCAGAGGAGTCTGCTGTGATGTGCTGAAACGAAAGGCACCACCGACAAAAGAAACGATGATGCAAAGACTCCAGGTGCAGAGAGAATTCTGCTGCATATAAGTCTGAATGATGGACAGGAACGTAATAAAGTGGATAACAGTCGGTGGTGGAATGTAAATTATGCATAAAAGTGCTGTCTGTCATACACTAATAATTGTAAACAATAAAACGTTCTTATTGTGTATTATTTTAAAATTTATTCCAGAATATGTATTGATTTGCAATATTCTGAGGATGCACAAAGGAGATTGGAACCCAGATCAACATGCGCAGCAGCAGGTGCTCATCAGCGCAGCTCGGTCCAAGACAAGAACGTGACCGGAGACTAGCTCCAAATGTGACATCATAAGGACACGGTTCAGAGCATGAGCATTGGAGAGGGCATGCTTTTTTTTCTTAGAAATGTATTTGTTTCCAGAGTGCCAAATATAGAATAGAATCAAATATTCTCAGGAACACAATACACTCTTAATTCAGTCAAAAATTAAGGTAAAACTCACAAACTCACAAAAGCAATATGGTCTCAGTTAAAACAATTACTACTTTTGTACTGAAAAAGGTTGGCCTGATTGTTGGAACTTCGAGACAGGCAGTTAAGTTATAGTTTTATAGCATTAATAGGAAACTACAAAAGTTCTCAGGATGTACCTCAGTTAATTTTGCACAATAATAATTATGATTACAAGCTAAAAATGGAGCAGCTGTCATAGGCTATGGATCATCAACAGCAGTTAAACAATTTACAAGGGTCAAGAGTTTGACGAGAAAAAAAGAATCAGTCGCAATTTGAATTCATTATGTGTGCGTTTTATGTGTCCGTCAAAATGATTAGGGAGACACAACATTCATGGAGGTGACCCCCATCTACACAGGGCACATCTGCACATCATAAAACATGACAGCGATTTACTGAGATGAACCATAACTTGAGCTTTTATGTGAATATGCTAAACTGTAGGTCTGCCTTCGCAGGCACCACTGCCATTTTATCTGTAACAATGAAAGCACCCGTAGAGCACAGACCTCCGTTCAGAGGAGAAGGCGATCCAGACGTAGATCTGGATAAAACTGAATGATTTATCAGGGGGTTTCATGCACTTGAGAAGGGGATCAGCATTGAGAAATTGACAATACTCAATGAAGTTTTACCTATAATGTTTAATTATGAATAACGTTTTTTTTGCATTATGATATTAGTACCGCACTATACTAACAAATTAGAATAATTTGTTCTCAGGTTTCTCAAGAACTGGTGCCGCCTCTGCACAGACAAACTCTGCTCAGCTCCTGACAGAGCCATCTCTTTGTGCTCTGGACACTGGAGAGTAAAGTTACTTTAAAAGAAAAGTTTTTACTCTGTAAAGTTAAATGTTTTCAACACAAATGCTATTCATTGGCATCAGGTCAACAGGAAGAGCTAATAAAACAGCAGAAACCGAAATGTGTTAAAATCCTTGGATGTTTTGTATTAATACGACAAACAAGTACAGAATAATGATTAGCTCCGTGAAAACCAATTAGTAATCTGTTACAGTCTGGCTGTAGATATGGCTGTACTGCAGCAGAGCACCCAGGGGTCAGCCCACATGCTCAGTGGGACACATGACCCTGGGCCTCCCTCCTCCATCGTTCTTGGCCTTTGCGTCATGCCTGGTTTGTCTCCAGACATGCGGCGTAGTTGGAGGTCTGTTTTCCGACCTTTAGACAGGGACAATGCTGCCACTTTTCTTACAACATAAAAAATACATCCACAGCCTTGATATTCAGCTGACCTTGGAGGTCTATCACACAAAGACATCCATAACAGTGACATTTGAAGAAACTAATACATACTAAGCTATTTACGAAAATAAAAGGAACTTTGAAACAACCATGGATACTATTCTGGAGTATATTTAATTTCCTTACTGACTAATGACTACTATCTTTGAAAAATTTGCTATTTTAGCCTAATTGTGTCATCATTCTGCAGCCTCACAACCATCCAAAAGTCACACAGAACATTTTGTTGTGCAAAGTTGTGAGATGCATTTTTAGTGCTATTGTTTGTTTTTTTAAAAGGTCAGGAGCATTCTTACCAGACGACGACGTTCCTCTTCCACAGTACTGAGAAGCTGAGCAAACTCTTTGAAAGACTGAGCTGAAAAACAAGGAACATATACAACAGGTTTTAGGACATAACATTTACGACTTTATCTTCAGTCTATAAATCTTTATAACCCGACATATGATGAAGTCGTGGAACTGCGTCATAATTATGCAAATACACAAATCCACATGTTGTCTCATAATAAAAAGGATATTTAAAAGTGTGGCAGATTGGCCGTTAAAACTCGTATGTCGCTGGCACCCCTTGAGCTTCCTCACACATGGGGGGATGAAATGTTTGTTCCCCAATGCTCTCAATATCGCACATTTTAGAACCTAATAAAATCATGCAGCTGTCCAATTTAAGCTTGAGACGTGTAGTAAAAAACAATACTTCAACTGAATGGGCGACCGCTGATTGCTTCCTTTATATTTCGTTCCCCTGCTTGGTCTTAAAATAAACTGTCAGTGTGTGTGTGTATATGAGAGAGAGAGATATATTGTTTGTCCACTCCATCTGGGCTTCACTTATTACCGCCTACAGAAGCCCTTCAGAGCAGGAAAGCTTGTCCGATATGAGATTGTGCCACTACCCATCCATGGCTACATTAAAGGGGCACAATCAATGTTTATTTTTTTTCTTTTGAACGAGAAGACGTCATCTAATAGTCAATATCATTTCAATCATGTGGGAATAGAGTTTTTGTCTTACAGTTCTGGCCAGTAGTAGCCTGGTCTTAGCCATCCGTACACACCGCTCAATCATCATTTCACTGCATGTAACGTCTGGGTCTGGTCCCTGTGTTAGCGATTACAATCACATGAATGTCGACCGACCAACCAGCGAGCGCGGAAGGAGGCCGTTGTTAGTTGTGGGTGATGTCAAGAGTTTGCGTCGAACTGGAAGGTTTTGTTTTGGCAATGGCGAAAAATGCGAGAGTAAAGTAATCCGGTCTGGTTCTATCAAGAAATTGAAGCCGGAGCAAGGGTAATGTTTAGCAAATGTTATCGCTCGAAAAAATTGTGGCGCTACTCCCCACGGGCTCCGTTAGGGTTAGGGTTACTCACAATAATATTTTGTGATGGACAATTTAGTTAAGTCATGACATAAAGTAGTGCAAGCTAAAGCAAACACATCCACGTCTGAAGTTGACCATTTTGAGCTGACCAGATTTAACCAGATCTGTGGTTAAATCTAGGGTTTAGTGTTCTCCAAGATCCTAGAAATTTTAGTTTAATATTGTCTTTTTTTTTTTTGCACATGTAATCCAATGTGGTTTCACTGCAAACGGCAAATACAATTAATCTGAATCTTGCATCTGTGAAACCAGATATGAGCCATACATATCGACCAATCAGATACCTGGGTAAACTCCAGCTTGCCTTAGAAACACGTTAGATTGACATATATGCCCTTTCTACAGTGATTCGGTTGTAACTATTAAGTTAGTCCATTTATAGTCGTGCAAGAGCAATGTTTTTTTCATTCTGCCCCTAAGAAGTGCAGTCATGGGCTTTGATTTTATTGCGCCTGGTTCAACATTGGTAATATTGTCCAGCTCAACTTTAACGCATCCACAAATGTACTGCCGCTATTGTTGGCCTCTGTGTCACCTTTTGTCCAGTCATTAGTCGAGCAGACCATCCTGACACTGCCATAACATCATGAGCTGGGCCCTGGCACAGAGACCAATCCTCTCTGACACTTTGGTCCATTTACACGCCAAAGCTTTTAAAGAACCAGGCGCAATAATTTTATGCCAAAATGCAGCAGGGAATCCAGCCCTCCTATTAACGCCTTCAGTTGCTTTATCAACAGAAGCGACCTCTCAGGGGGTAAAGGCCACAGCAGGAGCCACTGATGGGACAGGATTTCACTGCGAGCAGAGAAAATTGTGCCAAAGGGAGGTTACATTTAGCATGTCATTTACCAGCAAATGAAAAATAGAGGAAGGCCAGATTTATAAAATGTTTCAACCAGTGTGGGCCGGAGTTATTTTACCAAATATACAAACCATACATTTTGAATATTGTTTTGGGACAGCCTTTTAACAGTCAACATTTCTGAATTAAGATTTAAGAGAAAAACTTAGCCAGCCCATGGGATTTTGTAAATACATTTTCTTGCCTCTTCAAACTAAATCACTAAATAATAACGGAAATTTTAGAGCTGGTATTTTTCAGAGATTTCAAGACAGACGCAACATTGATTACAAGAGAAAAATACAAAACATTATACGGAATCTGTGAAATAACAAAATTAACTATAATAATGGAAAGATGTCACTCCTTACTATCTATTCAATCAATCAAAGTTTATTTGTGTAGCGCAATTCGTACACAAGGCCATTAGTGCTTCGCAGAGACAATAAGAAAACATATCAATACAATATACAATATACAGAAAAACAGCGGACAACAACGGAATAAACACTTATTGGTATAAGATCAAAATCAATAGACAACACAAAAGTAAAATCAATCTCAAGTAACTCTAAATGGATTTAACCTAGTCTTAAAAGTTGTCAAAGTAGGGGCTTTTTCGCATAAACTACGGAGGCAACTGAAGGCACTCAAAATACTGTGTGCAAAATGCCTTCCATGATAAAACATATTTTTTTTAGTTAAAACAAAGAATTTTCTCCATTTTATTTAACAAAACTGTCATTTTTTTTCTCTTTTAAACCCACAAACCTTGAACATAGGCCTTGTTCTAAACGTTGGAGGTTCATACAGTAAATCCCCAGGCTTCAAGCTTTTTTTTTCAGATGCATGTTCGACATCATACTGTTTTATTCCAACAGTTCAGTGGTGGCCCTTGGAGATTCCAGGCTTGACCTTCAGAAAAAAGGAATGTGCCACTTTTTCCCCCTGAAAATTCAAATTTCTGCAGCCACATCAATACTTTGGCCCCATTGATTCCTAGATAACTGGCAAAGAATGTGAATGTCACTGCAGGAAGTCATCGAGTAAAATCAATAAAAGGTCAGGCGAGCAGGGCGACAGGCACACATAATCCCCTGTGTTGTGTGAAGAAGTTAGCAGCATCAAAGTCAGCTCACAGATCCTGGATCAGATTCTGAGATGGCATTCACAGAGGTGCGGCAGTGTCAGTCTGACAGCGGGGACATTGATGAGCCGATTGATTTCAACACACATTTCATATTTTCCGAGGTCTAACCGTGGCCTTTGCGTTAGCCTGGGCAGCCGAGCACAATGGGAGAGCACGGGGAATTTCAACGAGAAAACAGGAAACATTTATTACCAGCCAAATTTGGTCAATGTTGTATGAGCTAAAAAAGAGAACACAACAAAGCCATTAAAAAGACATTACCTCGAATTACTCCTGCTGTTCCGCCCTGGTGTAAATTCAAAATCTGAATAATATTGCTGTGATTTTACTAGATTCTGGTTTAAGACTTTGTGCTTTGGTTTTTTATACATTTAAAACTGATGACTGTGAATCATTTATAAACATATTGGATATTTGTAAACTCAATGTTAATTTAAAGAGCATAATATGAATAAGATTTACTTTCATATACATAACAATGTTTTTGATGTGCTCATAGACCACTTTCACTGCAGCAGAAAATGTCAAAGGATAAAGGAACGGGACAGAAAGAGACATTGCAAATTAGTATTGTCACATGTGAGTGACAACTGAGGGATTTTATAATTATATCTTTCTTTTTAAAATACTGAGATAATTTATGATTCAAATGCCTTGTATTTCTATCTTGTTTTTTTTCCCTTTTCCCTTTTTCCTTTTATGTGAATTGTGCTATACAAATAAACTTTGTATTTTCAATTGTTCATACAAAACTATAGTTCCTTGTGCCTAACACCAGGAGACATACTGCAAGATATTATTACAAAAATACTTTCTCCTGGAAAGAAGTTTGAACAACAGTCTTTAGTTAACTCTAAGATTAACAGAGTACTCCATTTACAAGGAGCATAGTGAGAGAAAGCTGCTTCTACTTTCAGATTCACATGAGAGCAGCAAGAAGTCAACTTACAATCTGAAATCACAAGATATGACTTACTTTTTTAGTACTTTTGAAACACAAGTTTAGATGTATTACCTTGTTAAGATGTTTTGGCTGCAGATCTGAGAGCCATCTTCAGAACTGTCACCTGCCTTGGTGACGTGTCATTATTCAGCTGATGTTACTTCCTGAGTAGGTGTGGTCAGCCTGATTGACCTGGCAGGTCGCTCAGGCTGACCACGCCCCCTCTCGCCCGGTGGTCTCTGGAGGAGGGTGTCCCATGTGTGGGACAGGAGGAAAGCTCCCTCATCGCATGACACGTCACCAAGGCGGGTGACAGTTCTGAAGATGGCTCGCAGCTCTGCAGCCGAAACATCTTAACAAGGTAATACATCTAAACTTGTCTTGCAAAAGAACTAAAAAAGCATTTTAACTCAAGACAAGTGAGTTAAACCTTTTTGAATCGATATATGACTTATCACACGCAAAGGCAGATCTATTATGTGTTATAACGTTGATAATTGGCTCACAGCTTGTAAAAACCTAAATAAAACTTGAGTGAAAATTTAAGCCATAATTCTCAAAAAGTATGCACAAGGTAATTTGCATAGATTCACTTTAATTTAACAGTATTACATTTTTCGAGTTTCACCTGTAGGTCAGAGGATTTGAGAAAGGTTCACAAATGGCACAAGTAAATTATAAATGATGTGAGGGCACCAGACTGTGAAGCACTTTAAAAACAAGCAAAAGGATTTTAAAGTTAATCTGTGCCTGAATTGGGAGCCATGGTCTCTATCTCTATAGGAGTAATGCGAGATATTTTCCACGTCTGAGTCAGAAAGTGAGTCGCAGAATTTTGAATGCACTGCAGCCGCTGGATTGATTTCCAATTATAAACCTGTTCTAGAAAGCTCTTAAAAGCAATTATGTTAAAAATTACATTATGCAAAACTGTCTAATATGTCACTTTCAACATAATAGAAAAAGCAACTACAAAGTCTATTCTTGTTTAAACGTTCTTTTAATGTTATAACTATAAGGCTGTAACAAGTTAATCGATTAATGTATGTACAACTAAGCAATCATTGAAATAGTCGTACAATTTACAATCAGTTAATCCTTCTTTCAGTGACTACAGAACAAAATGAAAACAAAGTGTTTTAATCAAACCTTTCAAAGTGTAACAATTCTCTATGAAAATGTGGTCGAAATTTGGTCAAATACAGTATGTAACACAAAAATCCCATATTTATCCCATATTAATCTCATGCAGCTGAAATCTAGAATAATCTTCCTGAAAATTTGAGAAAAGCCTCTTCTCTGACAATGTTCAAATCCAAGTTAGAAAAAAGGTTCAGTTTATCTGTGCATACAACTAAAATATTTGTATATTTATCTTTACTCTTTTTAATGTACTTTTAGTTGCCTTATGTGTATCCCTTGCAGGACACTCTGTCAGTTTTGGAAAGCAGTTTCAGTGACAGACTTATTCACCCTCGCTGTGTGAAGGAGAGGTTCCTGCTGCTGTCAGACTGTACAATGAGAACTGCTGAGCCTGTAAATGTTATTCAACTGCAAATAGGTAAATACTGCAATCATGTGCAATGTGCAATACTGCAATTTCAGAATGTCCACTAAACAATGTCACAAAACATAGCTAATACTTATTTTGTATATTTTTGTGTGCTCCCTGTGTTCTCTTACGACTGTCCTGTATGTGCGCTGCAACATTGAAATTTCCCCATTGCGGAACGACTAAAGGATCTCTTATCTTATGAATTGTGCTATAAAACTTGCCTTTCCTTTCCTTTCAAGATCAAAACAACAAATACATTTTTCAAAATAATAACTGATCAATTGGGCAAACCAATCAATTATCAAAATCAATTATGGTTTGTAATTACAACCCTTGATGCAAGATTTCCTAAAATAGACATTGCAGCACCATGGAAGCCTCAGATGTGGATGCCTTCTGTAAACATTGGACTCATCCCACTACCAGCTGGTCAGACAAAATGCTGCACAAGAACAACATGACCGTGAATGGGAAAGCAGGCATAATGGACATTTCCTCAAACAAGCACGTGTTTGACTCTAACGATCCTTGGATTTGGGCATGGATTTGTCCAATATACATAATTGCTTTCCGCTCTCCTGTCCATCATGCTACAGCGGCTGCTTTGTGAGTGAAGAGAGGAAAAGGCACCATTCATTAGGCATTCAGATGAACATTACAGCCCCATGTCGGCGAGGTTCACATCCAGTCTCGCCCTCACAGATGGACAGTAATTCGGCAGGACCTAGCTCAATGAAACCAGGGCTCAAGCTGGAAATAATGAGCACAGCAGAAAAGAAAAAAAGTAAAGAGAAGAGAAAGCAGGCAGACTGTGAGACCGGCCCATTAGCGGTGAAGGGCCCTCTGCGCGGCTGCTTTCATATCCCTTATGGAGGCTACAGCACCTCCATTAATCTCTGACACTGATCACAATTAGTCTCTTTGATCTGCGATAGGCTTTAGAGGAAACAGGGGAAACATCATAAGCAAATCAATAGCATTAATTATACATGCACTGAAGACAAGTCCCAAGATCCATACCTATAACCATAGCTCAAATTTGCACAGCATCCTTCCCAAACCTCCAATTAGTCCTCGCTTTGTACTTTTACAAAGCGTTTCTACATATTTTTGGTAACGTTTCAATATGTATGAAGGGAGATATCATGACGGCAAATCCTCTTGAATATGTTCATTAAAAGGTCAGGTATAGTTTAAGGCCTGAATGAATTAATACAATTCAGAAGTATAGCAAACTTACCAATGTTCACTTCATCGTCGGTCTCAGCATCGCCTATGCACTCGAACTGAAACTCCAGCAGGGACTGAGAGAACTTTTGGACAGCAGCTGACAGACCTGCAAGATTATAAGGAGGTTAAATGAGGGAGGAAGTCCAGCCGAACAGGTCAAGATTAAATATGTAGAGCTACAATATTCGTTTTACACAGTCCACCCAAGCTCGTATTTAATCTTCCATCATAAAAGTTTTATCCTATCAAGCATGCCTGAAATATTAGTTGGTATACTGTGAGTGATTCAATATTTTTGTCCAGTATGCGAAAAAAGATTCATTGGGAATCGATGAGGCCCATATTGTGGTCCATTGCATTCAAAAAGTAACATATAAGGCATATAGGTAAAAACATAAACATATATATATACATCGATAATGAAATGTTTTCACTGAGATCTGCAACAACTATAAATCCTTTATGGGGGGGACGAGTGCGAGATATTGATATCCCCTCATAAAGAACTTTTACACTCCAGCACTGGCAGAGGAGAAAAGGTGAAGAGGCAGATCGAGCCATGCCCTCGCACGGCCTCAACACAATTGATGATGGTCTTAAACTTGTCGAGCTCGTGAAATGTTTGCTTGATTTGTTTTTTATTCAAAAGCACAGTGCAACTTTTTCTAACATAACTGCAGTTAGAAAATCCCTGTGCCGCAATGAATCAACTAGGGGGAGTATGTTGTAAAATACTCTCAAAAGTGTCACAACTATTAAAGAGTTTTTTTTTTTTTTTTTTTTTTCAGATTGTAATTGAAGAATCTGTTTAACCGCAGTGCAGACTGGTACTGTGCTGTTGGTATAAGGAACACATTTTTATCTTTTAGATGAACAACAAGTCAAGTCATAATGTTGAGGTTTAAAGGTGTACAACATACTGTAGTAAGGAACCGACTTGAACTGCTAATAAAAAAAACAAAAAAACAAAATGGCTTCCCAGGGGCCATCAATAATAATTGCCACAAGATGGAAGCCCCCCCATTTGCAGTCTCATCAACAGTGAGTGATGATACTTTTGGACATTTGAAGCTCTCTACGGGTGCACGATGCTAGGGAGGGGGGCATTGCCATGTGAGACAGCACTATTGGTCACTGATGTCATTTCTTTGAGTTTTGCTGAGTTGTACAGATCTGTATGTTCCAACCTGTTTTTTCAAAAATGTGTGGTCCAGAGGATGCAAACCTTTTAAGTAGACCCTTTGTTGCTCAATATTATACAAAGGTCTTCCACCTTGACATAACAATAACGATCACAAATGTAAGCTTAATTAATTGAATCTGTATCACAAACTATACAGGTTTATAAGTGCGTATATCCAACAAATATATTCTAGTCCCCAGTTAAGAACCACCAGACCAGGTTGAGCTATGTGATATAAATCTGATCCGAAAAGCACTCAGCCACAACCAAAATGTTCAAGATTCCGTCTAAAAACTGCACATAATTCACTCTATGCTTTCTCCACTAAAACAATCTAGGAAGACCCCATCGATCAACTGATCAACTACACGACAAAGAACTAAGTCTTATATATTCCATTTCCAAATCCCAGTCTCAGTCTTGTCAGGACACTTAACACCAGTCAGAAGCAGACTCAGCTCCACTGCTCTGTGGTAACAAGTCTGCTGCTGTTACTTGTACATTCAGGAATTATTGACTCATGCGCAGCAGCCTGCTCTCACTGCAGTCAGAGCTGGCTTTGGTGATCTGATGAAAAGTGACAAAATCAAAGATGGTAATTTGGATTGGAAAACTCTGACACAAGATATTTTGAGAAATCAGTTGAAACTTGGTACAATGTGTTAATATTACACTACAAGTATATGCCCTGCAAATATATGTGTGTTTGAAATGCCAATGGAAACAAATGATAGCAGATTAGGAAAAGTAGGAATTTCGATTCAAAAGTTTTGAATCAATTGCTTGATATCCTTCTTCTAACCATAACCCTAATGCAATTGTCACTTTCATTATCAGAATTGAGAATTTAATTGGCATCGATGTCGAACCAATCTATGGCCCTGAAACAATATGAGGGTTTGGGCTCAGAAAGCACAGAAGCACTGTTATAAATCATAAGTTATTAAAAGAGGGATGCATTAATCCAGCTTTTTATGTGCGATACTGATACTAGTGAAGGGACTGAAAATAGCACATAAATGCCCTCAAAGGACGGCAAACATTTCAAAAAGGGTCTAATAGTGTTATTTAATAGTGTTCGGTGCATGTAATGACGGAACAACATTGTTATTATGTCATTATTATCTCATCGTTTAGCTACTCATAGCTTCATAGTTGCGCACACTACAGCACAATTAAAGGAGAAGTAAGAGCACTCAGGTTCATTATTACGTGAAATAGATAATAAAAATATACAATAAAAACAATGAACTCTGGAGCTATAATGGGGTCAAATATTAACTTGTGGAGTATACAATCATGAAGTTTCGCATTTACAAATGGTTGACATTGTACTTTAGCAGCAGCAAATATGACCAGAATAAAAATAAAAAAATAAAAGAGTTGTGATAATAGCAGGTAAAGTGACGTGAGAGTATCAGAACCAATGAATGAAATATGTATTAATAATGGAAGGTAAAGTGACCAATGACTAGTAAAGTGATAGTAAGGTAGTGATAGTAAAGTCATACCAGTGATAGTGTACACTTCTGAACTCTTCAGGCAGTAGAGGAAGTGTCCATACAGACTTTTGTACATTTGTCTATATTTTTGTCTGTTTTTTAAATATTACACAGACTTTATATGTGTCTGAATAATTGTTTTTGAAGAATACTAATATCAGAGCAGATACTACCAGAACAGACAGGGTATCAGCCTCACCAATAATTGTACAAATATTACTAATATAACCAACATTAAACTAATTTTCAACAGTGCTTCCTATACTGGTATCAGATTGAAGAGTATTGTAGACGACTCTAGGTTCAAAGTCAAGAGATTGCATTTTCATTTTAAACAAGGGAGTTCAGACGTTGCTATCACAGGCATGGCTTTCTTACACAAATCAAATCATTATGCAGCTAATTCCACTTATCTGATGTGCGAGTTATATCAATTTGGCTGTGTGGGTCTACTGCTCAAGCTCTGGGACATAGCAACCTGCCCTCGCCCTGTGATGAAGTGTGGGATGCTTATAATATTTTAGATGCATTTCTAATTACAATCATTGCACATTTTGGTTGCTAAAATGGTCTGACATTTTCAATAGCGGCCCACACAGTTTGAAATGTGCGTAGTTCACATAAAATATCTCAAATCAGCGTATGGATAAATTGTCATTTTTATAATACTGTCCTATTGAGCTTTGTACATACACAAGCCAAATAAAGGTATTAATCTCATAGTGATACAATGAAGTAATTATGTTATTAATGTTTGTTAGTAATAATATGATTGAGGGTATAGGTACTACATTTAGATGAAAAAATAAAAGCTTTGCGCATAAGAATTTAATACCATATTTAATTTAATACCATATTGTGGCAGAATACAAAGAAATAAACCTCTCTCTTGTCTCTCTCTTTTCTCTGGTCTCTCTCTGGTCTCTCTCTGGACTCTCTCTAGACTCTCTTTGGACTCTCTCTGGTCTCTCTTTCCGGACTCTCTCTGGACTCTCTCTGGACTCTCTCTGGTCTCTCTCTGGTCTCTCTCTGGTCTCTCTTTCTGGTCTCTCTTTGGTCTCTCTCTGGTCTCTCTTGCTGGTCTCTCTTGCTGGTCTCTCTCTGGACTCTCTCTGCTCTCTCTCTGGACTCTCTCTGGTCTCTCTCTCTGGTCTTTCTCTGGTCTCTCTCTCTGGTCCCTCTCTCTGGTCTCAGGAATCAGCCCTCCTATGAAAAGCATGAGTTAGGTTTGAAGTACATGTTTTTAAACTTAAACACTTAAATTAAAATGTGCTAAATAGTCCATAATATTTGTCTAAAATGAACAACATTGTGATGATGGTATTGTATTTTTCCTCCAGATAAGCTGACTGGTATCAATGCAGCCAATACACTGTAAAAGTGGAGATTTGAGATCAATAGTGTGTTGCGGTTGTCTAGAGAGCTTGCATCAATAATAGATGTTCTTTTAGCTCTGGCTTACAGACAGCCCCGCACTCTCAAAACAAAAACCCTCAGCTTCAGCCCACATGTCAACTGACTCAACAATATCTTAAAAAACACTGTCGCTCAAACTTTCCACATGTGAAACGGAGGCAAAATTGTGTTACTTTTTTGCCATTGTGCACTCTCAAAGCAACAAAACAGCTGAGGAGGAGTGACGCTTGAGGGCATTTGTTGCACCTACAATCATGCATGCCTTAAGTAATAGTTGTGTACTGGTACCGCAGGTGTGGACATGTCTCTAGAAGATTCACACATAACACAGCAATAGCACTGCCCTCAGTTAAAGATGCACTGAGACAATAAGCAACAAATTAGAAAAAGAGAAAAATAAACAATACAAAAGATAGACATACTGTATGTCTATATTGTAAAAACTGTATGTGATGAATCTATAATATGTATGTATGCGAGTTTCATTGCCTGAAAGGACTGGCTTTTTTCTGATGTTCAGACCAGAACACTAGAAACTCTGCACGCACAAAAAGAAATGCAATCTAAGTTGCTGACGTCACCTTTAAAGTATGTACAGCTGTATTACTCTGCCGTGAAATGCCAAATATAAAGGGAAGTTTATCTTTTTCAGTAGGGAATCCAAACATAGCGCACTGCTCACTCAGACCCCCCACCTCAACAAGCTTGCATCTCAAAAAGTCAATGACACTGAGCTGGAAACACCTGCACTGCCAGCCACCTCTCACATGGCTGCATTTAAACCAAAGATTGTATATCTCTGCCGTTGAAACTAATGTGCCACCACTTTTTCCTTGTGTGGGGTTTCTCATAATTGGCAGGAAAATGTGAAAACATTAGCCAGCCACCGCCCCATTAAAGAAGCTATACCCGATTTTTTTTCTAAGTAGTTCATAAAAATGCTTTTTACTACATACAAGTTGTATCATAATACATAATTTAATTGAAAACTTGAGGTCATTGATT